GTTTCAAAACAAAGCTATGATCCTATCTTTCCTCTTTATAATTTGAGAGAGAAAAAAAGCAGATGCTGATAGCTGGGAGCAGCCTTGGCATTTCAGTTAAACTTTGGATTTGCTGAGAGTTGTACTGAAGCTCACATTTAATCTGCAGTGGTCTACCATTAAATATGAACTTTCTCAGAATGTCAACTTCAGACAAGGCCACTATGTGGTCATCGTAGATTATGCCAAAGACAAGGCCATTTTGTAATCACGTCTGAACACAGACTAAAGCCAGAACATCCTCCAAGCCACCTAAAATGACAAAATGCCTCCCATCCTTATGAATATGACAGATATGCATCTTCACTAATCATAGATAGATAGGATTCCTTTTATGCTTTCTAGATAAGGATTCTAAGATACTCGATTACAGGCTATTCCCCACTTCTTGACAGCATCCAATCAAAAGCAAAGCACTGCTTCTTTGAAACCCCCTCCATCATGTAACACACTCTCAAATCCTGCTGTATTAGTGCCTAAGGCATTTAACTGCTAACCATAAGGCTGGTGGTTCAAACCCACCAGCCACTCCTTGGAAGGAGGTTGGGGCAATTTATTTCTGTATTGATACTGCCTCAGGAATCTGAAGAGGAGTCACTATGAGTCAGATCCGACTCGACAGCAATAAGTTTGGTTTTGGTATCATCCTCTTAGAAGCCCTGGTGGTGCGGTGGTTAAAGCACTCAGCTACTAACCAAAAGGTTGGCATTTCAAACCCACCAGCCAGACTCTGGGAAAAGATGTGACACTCTGCTTCCACAAAGGTTTCAACCTCGAAAACCTATGGAACAGTTCTAATCTGTCGTGTAGAGTTGCTGTGAGTTGGAATCAACTTGATAGCTGTGGTTTTAACATACACTTATCGAGACACTTCATGGTTCACCATCATATGCCATCTCCCTCATTGAAGGAATGCATAAACCTAACTATCTTCATCTTCAGGTGTTCTCCTAGTGGACTTTGGCTGGACAACATTGGACATGCTCAATATCTCCACATCATCTTCATGAAGTCAGTCCTAATTTGATTCTTGTATACTTATCCAGCCTCATCTCCAACCATAGAGACATATATTAGATTGTAGGTTTCTGAGAATCAAGGACTGGGATTTAGTTTTAGTTTTGTTTTTGTTTTGGTATTCTAATGTCTAATATAGTGCTAATTCTGTTGTTGTTATGTGCTGTTGAGTCGGACCCTAGTCATAGCAACCCCTCCTTGGGTTTCTGAGGCAGTATCACTATGGAAGTAGATTGCCCCATCTTCCTTGTAGGGTTATAGGGTTTATAGGGTTATAGAGTACTAACTTTATAACCCTATAAATATTTGATTGCATGAGTAAGTGATTTTTTTTCAGTTCTGGAGGCACATTTTTGTTAAGGTGGGATCTGTGACCAATATGAAAGCTATAATTACTTCTGAATGAACATTTGAGTTGTTAATAAATGACTTTTTGGTCAAAAGTAAAATTCCTTATAGAATGTTAAGTGAATAGACAATTAATTGCTTCTAAACTCAGGGTAAAACCCTGGGGAATATCAAACTTCCTTTCACATTAATTAGAGAAGAGGTCATGAAAGGTGAAGGCTTTTGAGTGATGCCAATAAAGAAGGAGGAGGGAAGGTTATAAAGTGTTTTTAATCAAATTATTAAAGAAATGGTGAATAACTTCCCTTTTTGTGTAGTTAGTTTAAACATTTTTTTTAAAATTATGCACACCATTGTTTTTTGGTTTTGCATTTTAAATAATAAGGCTCACTAATTGTGAATAATCCAGTATTATTTTAGCAACTAAGAATATAGTCTTTATGTAACTGTTAAGTGATATATATATTTAGGTCCTACAATTACGTATATGAAATATTTTTATAACCTGTGTGAAGTATTTAATAATCTACATATTAGGAAATAATGCTTTTAAGACTATAAAACAAACCAAACTCACTGCCGTGGAGTCAGATCTGACTCATAGTGACCCCTCCTTGGGTTTCCAAGGCGGCATCATTACGAAAGTAGATTGCCCAACCTTCCTTCCAAGGAGTGGCTGGTGGGTTTGAACTGCCAGTCTTCTGGTTAGCAGTCAAAATGCCGTAGACTATAGGTTCTGTTTAAATATACTTTTAATTTTTAAAATATGTTTCTGTGTGAACACACATATGTAATAAACAGAAAGGCACAGGGAAGCAGACTCTGAAACACATAAGTCCTCAGTGAGTTTCCTGATTTAAGAAGGAAAATAATGCCAAGGACAGAGGAAATGTAAAGAACTCTGCTTTTACTGTGGTTATGCCAATGTTTTCAAACCTGTCTGTGCCTCAGTTTCCTCTTCAGTCACTTGAGAGGATAGCATCTATTGCATTGGTTGTGTCTTTGCTGTTTTTTTTTTTTTTTTTTTTGCTATTGTTTTGTTGTCATTGTTTATCTTAGAATAACTGGATTCTTATGGTCAATCAAACTGCTTTAATAGTACCTCCTGAAATATTCAGTTATGTTTTGTGCTTCCTTCATAATACTAATTGATTGTCTCATTTGATGCTTATAATTAAGAGATTGTGATCATGACATTAATATGGCCATTGATAATCTTTTTTTAATTTTTTGCAGAAGACCACACAATATTCTGATGATTTCACGTTAAAAAAAAAAAAAGAGGCAGGAACTCAATAGGCTAGGATATCTCTAAAACAAAACAAAAGGCCAATTTGTTTTCATTTTTGTTTGTTCAAATGTTTGGCATCCATAATCCTGCTGTCTCTCTCACTAATTGTGAATATAATACATATTTCCTTAGTCTCTGCCTACTTTCCCTCTTCTGAAGTGCACAGAGACCTTTACAAATATCATTTACCTTTTAATGGAGATCAAGTTTAAAATACTGGAAAACCCATGTGTCACTTGGTTTTCATGGATATTTCCATTCATCTAGCCAGTTAGAACCTTCTGTGTTTCCCCCCTATTTGTGGCGCTGACATTCACGATAACCCAGAAGTTTCACCTGCTAATTGGTATGGGATTCTGGGAGTATATAATCCTAAATTGCCACAATGTGTGTGCTTTGAAATTTTCAAATACAATCCAAGATATTAAATGTGCCTATCACCTTTGTAGTTTCTGCTCTTGACAACATAATATAACATGTATATTTCCCAGCTGTGCTATAAGTACTTTTCTTTTACTCTATTAATTGTGCTCAATTATCATTATCATTTTATACATTGCAGCTGTTCCTGGTTGGATTATATTCTTTTGACCATTTGCTCTTTTAGCATTTTAAGTCTTGACCTTGAATCCAGTAATCTTAGTTCATGGAGCTTTTACAAAAATAAAAAACAGAGTGCTGATGCTGAATTGTGGTTAGTTCTTTAAATGAGATTTTCTTCAAATATGTCAAATTTATAGAACATTTCATAGGCATTTCTATCATTTGATATGCTCAGGAAATAGTCTAGGCTAGATGATTACATATTTTTTTGAAAGTATTTCCGAGGTCACCATACTATCTGAAGAAATATACCAAACTCTTTGCTTTCAAATGATAAACACTACTTTGGCACTGCACAGTTACACTGACACTACACACATGTGACTTTTTAAAATTTAAATTTGATGAAATTTAAAAAATCATTTCCTCATTCAGACTGGCCATGTTTCAAGTACTCAATACTTGCACATGGTTAGTGGCAACTGTATTGGACAATGCAGATAGAGAACATTTTTACCCTTGCAGAAAGTTCTGTTGGACAGCACTGTAGACCATGCATGTATCTAGTATGTCCTCCCAGCTGTACTCTGATATTACATCTTGGAATGTTTGCTTGAAAACCTTTAAGTCTAAATAAAGTTTTGAAAAAGCATGTGATGTAGAATAATCTCCTGCCACAAACCGAAGCCTCTATAAAGTGCTATCTTTAGTCACAAGAATATTGCTCTTATTTTATGTAAATTGTATTCTAGGTTGCTTTTCCTGTGGGCAGGACATATAACATACTTTTATGTGTTTTAAGGCAGATAATATATATTGGAACTTTGGTAGCATAATGCTTAAGGCATTTGACAGCTAACCAGAAGGCTGGCGGTTCAAACCTACCAGCCACTCCTTGGAAGGAAGATTGGGCAATGTATTTCTGTAGTGATACCACCTCAGAAACTCAACAAGGGGTCACTATGAGTCCAGTGGACTCGATGGCAAACACAACAACAACATATCTTTTTAATGACTAAGTAATGGAGTTCTACTGCATTGTGGTTATAATTTACATCTCTATAGAGACATTGAGTTAAGGTCAAGAGTATCTAATGGTAGCTCTTGTTAATTCAAATAATATCAACTTTGTTGTTCAAAAGTTAACTGGTTAGGAGAGATGAACAAAAGAATTTAGAAATCTCTTTGAAATGGAATCTATTTTTCCTTGGAAATGCGAGTACTTTGACAATTGTAGAAAGAAAAATTAGCCTGCAGTCTTGCATTTTGATATTTTTTCTGCTAAATTATTCATGCTGGTGTACATTTTCCCATTTCATATGTTTACTGGATTCTCATTTTGATTTGTAATAGAGAATGTTTGTTTGTATTATTAGGATTAATTCCAATAGTGTATATTTAAAAGATAAGTTCTATTTAAATTCTCTGACACTTTATCCTTTCATTATTCATTATGATTTGTCTTTTTTGGTTCTTTTTTACAATTGCAAATTGCAAATCAGCAGAAACTATTATGTAAAGAAGTTAAGACTTGAGATCCTATTATTAAAAATAGCAGCAATTCAAGATGAAAATGACTTGTTGCTTTCATTGCAATTTTGATGCTTTCAGTGCCAAGAGGAGTTGAGAAAGTCTTTAGATTCAGATGCTAAACTGACAGAGTGAACGATTTTAAGGTTTAAAAGGGCAAGTAGAAGTTATAATTACTGTGTAGCTTCACAATCCTTGTATTGAAATACTCACCTTTGCTATCATGCTGCAGGCCATAGAGCGAGAAAAAGCCGAGAAGTTCAGAAAACTGCAAGATGCCAGCAGATCAGCTCAGGCCCTGGTGGAACAGATGGTGAATGGTAATTACACGGAGTTGATTTAGATCATCTTCTTAGGGATTTGATAAACACATAGGTTCATATTTATCAGCTGAATTATATCAGACAAGCACTTCCTGGATGCAAATGTAAATTAAAGAAAATTTGTGAGCTTTTTATTATTCTTTCTTAATGCTAAGTGAATTATTAAAGAAAATTTCACTTTAAGACCAATGGGCAAAACTGGGATGTGGTAGAATGTTTTATCCATCTGCTGTAGAGAATTCAATTTCAATGCTGCTATACAATCCTGCTAGCATTTGTCCAACTAATTTCAGAAGAAAGATTTGCAGAAATAATTGAAAATGTAAGCAATCATGTAATATATGTAGAAGCAATTATAATTCAATTTTAAATGTTTGCAATATATTCTTCCAAAGACACTCAAATTATGGGGAGGACCTCATCAACATATCTGTTTCCTAATTGTATATTAACATTTTCTAAACAGCTTTTCCTTTTTTCACTCATTTTCAAAAGGTTTCCTGATAGA